CAGACGAGAAAGCTGGAGCCCAGAAGGAGGAGCAAAGGGGACTAGAATTGAGCTCCTGACTCCCGGGGCACTGCTGCTTCCTAACCACAGGCGGTGAACCTTGCAAATAGGATGCCTCGTCCCCTCCACAGAAGTGCAGAGCGAGGCACGGGGCAGTTCTGCCGGCCACCTGGGTTACACAGCACTGAGATCCACACCCGGACACCAGGAGCCAGCCTCCTCCCGGACGGGCAGAGCAAGGTTGAAATCTGGAGGATACCAGGGCAGACTGAGTAGAGCAGAGAGTGCCGAGACGGCAGCCCCCACTAGCCAGACCTGTTGCATCCAGGCTCCTGGGGAGGCAGGCTGTGGGCCACACGGATCCGGGACCCTCCCCAGCTCCCGCACACAGTAACTTTGTGGTCTGGAACTCATCATGTCACGTGGGTTCTACAAATGAGGCACCACAGAGTCTTCGGCCACGAGGTCGTGGTGGGGCTGAGAGGAGAGAAGCCATGGACGAATCGGCCAACAACTATCAAGGCAGGTCACTGGGGGCCAGGCACTTCTCCAAAAACACTTCACAGGTACATTGCCACTTAATCATGACTGCAACCTTGTGAGACGGGCCCTGTTAACGCCCCCAGTTTACAGATGAGGAAACGGAGGCACAGAGAGCCACGTGGCTGGGAAATGGCAGAACTCGGATTTGAACCGAAAACAGGCGGACTCTGAATCCCTCTCACTGAAGCCCCTGGCAAGGCCAGCTTCTGTGGAGGGTAAGTGTTCAGAACCGTGCCAGGTACACAGAGCTGCTCAGTGCTGCTGCCGTTGATAGAACAATAATTATTATTGTCGCTGGGGAAAGTTGCCACCAGCAGCGCTATGTTCCCAAAAGTCAGAAGAATGAATATCCTGACGTGTTTTACAAAACGTATCAGTTCTTCTCTTTAGAAGTGAGGGAGCAGTTAGCAAGTATTCAAGATCAGTGCCTGTTGAATCGAAACATTTTATGGTCTTTTTCAGAAAACACGGAAAGAAGGGGGGGGAAGGGGCAAACCCATAGACCCACCATCCGTTCAGTTTCCACGTTTATTTTTATTTTGGTTCATAGTTGTGAACACGCTAGGAGAGATTTCGGGATGCTGCATCCTTCGTTTAACAGGATTCCGTGAGCTTTTCCCCTTGTGCGATGATTTTTAACGACTACAGAACGTTCCATCAAGCAGGTGGCTTCTTCATAGCCCCCTCCCCATTTTCCCCCGTTTGGGGCTTTTATTCCAGTCTCAGATGCTGCAGCAGACATCCCTAAGGTTAAAGCTCTTTACTTATTTGATGGCGACTTGGAGAAATGAGTTTCTCATAGCAGACGTTCTGGAACTAGGAAGCCAATGTTAGGAGAGGTTTAGGGGATAGAAGGGCCTTCTCAGTGTCCTAGTGATGAAACTGTGCCAGCCATTGTGTATTTCCTCCATGCTTAAGGCCTCCCCACACTGTAGGGTTGTTGTTTTTTTTTTTTTTTCTTAATGTTTATTTATTTTTGAGAGAGAGAAGACAGAGCATGAGCAAGGGAGGGGCAGAGAGAGAGGGAGACACAGAATCGGAAGCAGGCTCCAGGCTCCGAGCCGTCAGCCCAGAACCCAATGCCCGGCTCCAACCCACGAACCGTGAGATCGTGACCTGAGCCAAAGTTGGATGTTTCACTGACTGAGCCACCCAGGCGCCCCTAACACTGTAGGTATTTTTGAACCTCACTTTCTGGGCTGAAGGTTTCTTCTTTTTTTTTCCTCTTTTCTTTTTTTTTTTTTTTAAGTTTATTTATTTATTCTGAGAAGAGCGAGCATGAGGGGTGGGGGAGGGAGCAGAGAGAGAGAGAGAGAGAGAGAGAGGAGAGAGAGAGAATGCCAGGAAGGCTCTGTGCTGTCAGTGCAGAGGCCAACACAGGGGCTCAAACTCATGAGCTGAACCATGAGATCATGACTTGAGCCAAGATCAAGAGTTAGAAAAATGCCAGGCAACTGAACCACCCAGGTGCCCAGAGACCTGGGATCTTACACTCAACCTACCACTAGTGCTCTACAGGACCTTGACTATGTCACTTCTGGGGTGGATTACCTCTCCATCCTGCCCAGTGAGAAGACCTGATGAGAGAGAGCCCAGTTCCAGCTCTGTCCCTAAGCCATCATGAATGTTCAATGTCTTGGGAAGCTCTCTGGGTTCAGTTTCATTGTCTCTTTGTAGGAGATCAGAACGGGGGAACCACCAGGCAGGCAGAGGTGAGCTCATGGGCACCCACTTGTCTTACACATCCCACTGGACTAAGCACCCATAGAAGACGGAGATCCCAGAGCCCAGCACAAACTCAAAAATTTGGACACACCACAAATAACCATCAACACACTCCTCCGTGGCCCCAGCTCACTCCTGTCTCAGAGCCTTTGAACTTGTGGAGCCTCTGCCTAGAGCACCCTCTCCTTGGCTCCGCCCACAGCCAGCTCTATCTCATCGCTCAAGTCTCCGCTCAGATGTCCCCTCTTCCAGGAGACCCTTATTCATCACCTCACCAAGTTTTATGTCCCTTACAGCACTGAGCAACTATTTGAAAGGATACTGTTGACATCAGTGTTTCCTTCTTCAGTGTCCATCCACTGCCCCTTGAATGTCACCTCCAAGAGAGCAGGGACTAGGATTGCCACCACTTACTCCACAGAACCCCACAAACATGTGGGTGCTCCAGGTACAACTGTGCATATAAAAGCCACATGTATTGAGCACCTAGTATAGGCGAGGCACCGTTCCAAGCCTTTTACATATAGCAACTCTTGTAATGCTCCCAAGCCCCTGAGCTAACAGCAATTACTATTCCCATTTTATAAAGGGGGAAAGTGAGGCACAGAGCAGTTGAATAACTTGCCCACCATGCCACAGCTAGCAAGTAAGACAGCTGGGGTGCCCCACTGCACCCTGTAAGAGTATGCTGAGCCACACATGGGACAGAGTCCCTGTCCCCATGAAGCTCGGGGGCTAATGGGCTAGCTGACCCAGTCTACAATACAGGAAGTCAGGGATACTTACTTCCCCTAGAGGAAGTGATCCCTCAGCTAAGTCCTGAGGACAAGTAGGGGCGTGCTAGGATGAAGTGGAGGGAAGGACAATCTAAATGAGGAAACACTGTGGAGGCCAAAAGATAAGCCACCGGACACCAAACCTAAAGAACTAGAAGGTGCTTGTACGGCTGGTGTAGGGAACACAGGGGTATGCCATGTGTCAAGGGATATGATCATCTCAACCCACAGTGACTGAGATTTGAAAGAAGTCCCAGGGAGGAAATATGAGGCTGTACGGCTGGGAAGATGGGCACCACTCCCCCAGATCGTGCAGGGCCTTGGCAAGCTGAAGGGTGCATGTTTTATTCCAAGGTCCCACATCACACCTCAAAGACTAGTGGAAGCCCCTCACTCGGTGGTGCCCAAGGGCCACACAAGGGTCTCTGGAAATTTCTGCTGACTCACTGTGGGAACCTCAGGCACCTCCATACTCTCTCTGGGTCTTAGTCTCCCAACTGGTATTGAGTGACCCAGTGCCAAAAGCACATCCCCACTCCGTCACCCTGGCATCCCATAACCAGAATGCTGTTGACCAATGAGATCCTGACATTCCTGGAGTCCAATTCTGGGACTCTTGTGCACTGGCCATCCCATACTTGCTGAGGCCAGCCCACCACCATGGCACTTTGCCAAGCAAGTCTCTGGGCAGGGGTTTGAGTTCTCCTGCTCCTACATCCTCCAAGATATAGAGGCTTCCCCTAGGTTTTGGCAGGATGGTGGGGGGGGGGGGGGGCCCGGCTCAGATCCTCCCGGAGACAAAGGAGCTGACCTGCAAAGAGTTCCAGCGGGAGCCCCGCTCCCCCTCCCTTCCCCCCTCTCCCTTCCCAGTCCACGTGTCTCTATTGTCTGCTCCCCGCTTCAGGGAAAGACACAGCCTCGGATGTGTCAAAACCACCACCCCCCGGCAGCAGGGAAATTAATTACTGGACGATTTTCACTTCCTCTTGCAGCGCCTGCCTGAGCTAGGCACCGGAACAGGACCGGCTGAGAGGGGCCGGCATCGGCATGGGGGACTTGCTGCCCCCACCAGTTCTGGGAGAAGAAAGTTGAACCCCAAACCCAACAGGGGCTTCAGTGGGAGGCCAAGCTGGGGTGGGGGTGCCGACTTCCTCTAGTTAAAGCTGAGTGTCCACACTGGCCACTTCTGAATTGGGGGAGAGGGAGAGGACTGGAGGCAGGAGGGTCGCGGCTGGCGAGCTCACACTCTTTTCTTTGCATCCCCTTCCCTGTGTCCCCATGTGCCTGAACCCCGACTGCTCGGATCACTCTCTGTCCTCTCCCCTCGGCTTCTCCCTCTATCTTACACTTTTCTTTCCCTTTCTTTGCATCCCTGGGGGGGGCTTTCTTTTTGTGTGTCTGGATCTCTTTTTTTCTCCCATGGGTGTGTGAGCGTGTGTTGCTACTTCTTTCCATCTCTGTTTTCCTTCTTTCTCTGTTTCTCTCTTGTGTCTTTTTGTCCTTATCTCGGTCTCTATTTCTACCTCTTTCAGTGTATGTCTCTTTCTCTGTGTATCTCCTCTCTCCTCTCTCTCTCCCTCCACCCCCCCCTCCTCTTTCTCCGTCTCTCTGTATCTCTGCGCCTTTCTCGCCCTCACTTTCTCCCCTCCTGCCTGCCCGCTGCTCCCTGCGCCTGGCCTGCCCCCACCGCTGCCGGTTCAGGGGAACGTGTGCGGAGCGATTGTCCTGGGGGACATTTGATGGATTAGAGCGCTGAACAGTTCCATTGCTAGGGGACCACCTGATCTCCTCCAGCCTGCGTCCCATATAAAGCCGGCAGGCAGCCGGAGTGCTGAGCACAGCTCCAGCGATCGCCTGTCTGCGCGCCGCCGCCGCCAAGCCCGAGCGGGAGCCCGAGCCAGAGCCGGGGCCGCCGCCACCGGTGCCGGCTCCGCGCTGCCGCCCGCCCGCCCGCCCCCCCCCCCGCTGGGAGCTGTCCAGTGCTGAAACCCCGCGCCGACAGCCAATCGCGCCCGGCTGGCCGCCTCCCCCCACCGGGGCCCCACGCAAGTGCCCCCGCCGAGCCCCCCGCCAGTCGCACCATGCCGCGCTCCTTCCTGGTAAAGAAGATCAAAGGGGACGGCTTCCAGTGCAGCGGGGTGCCGGCCCCCACCTACCACCCCTTGGAGACCGCCTACGTGCTGCCTGGCGCCCGGGGGCCGCCCGGGGACAACGGTGAGTAGGACCCGGCGGGGGGGGGGGAGGGAAAGAGGGAGGGGAGTTCGGGCCCTCCCCAACTCGGGCCACGAGGAGGGGTGCGCGCGGCAGGGAACCCCGGGTAGAGATTTCCCTGGCTGTGTGCGCCTCCCGGGCTTCCCGAGGGCCGGGCGGGCGGGGCAGGGGCTAGGTCCCTACAAAGGGAAAGTCGCAGGGTCGATCCATCCCACAGCCACGCGCCAGCCCGGACTTAGAAAGTTGTGGCCCTAAACGGGGCTGGAGTGAGGGGTGGTGAGAGAATGGAGAGAGAGAGAGAGAGAGAGAGAGAGAGAGAGGCACCCACGAAGGGCTAATGCTGGGGGGCTAATGCACAAGGCAGTCTGTGGGTCCCCTCTCCCCAGTGGAGGGAAGGAGGCTGGATGTCTGAGTGTACTGCCCTGGTGGAGAAGATAAGCGGGCCTGCACTACCAGTCCCTGGGGAGACAGGGTTGGCTCCTGGGGTGTAGCTGGGGGCTCCCTCCTTCCCTTCAAGCCTGCTCCCCCTGGCGATGCCAGACAAGTGTTCTCAGGTCCCCTCTCTCAGCAACTCTTTTGTTACCCTCAGCCACATGCCTGCCAAAGGCTGGGCCTGTCCTGGGGACTGCAAGGAAGAGGGGATTTCTAGGAGGGGTTCCCCCAAAGTGGCTCCTGGTCCCCTGGGCTGCACTCCCTCCCCACTCCAGCTTCTCAACCCCCTCCAGAGCCAGCCCTGCTGTTCCTTGTAAGTCCCCCACCCCCAACACACTCCATCTCTTCTCAGAGCAAGTTCCCGCAGGGACAAGGGTTTGAGGGACAAGAGAGGTCATTCAGGCTCAGAAGGGGGTGATCTCTGAAGGATGTAGAGAAGAATCTTGAGACTGCTTCCGTAGATCCCATCCCCCATCAAGGGGATCACAAAAGCGTTCTCCTCTGATGGCCCACACCAGGGCAGGTGTCTGGAGGAGAGGCATCCCTTTGGCAATAAGAAATCTGACATCACATGTGGCATTGGCTTTGGGGTGTGTGGGGAGGGGGAGATGAGGAAGAAGAAGGGAGGAGAGAAAAAGAAGAGAAGAAAGGGCTGAGAATGGGGGGTGGGCTGAGGTGGTGAAGGCAGGAGCCAGGGAGGGTGGGAGTTTCACCTTGGGGATTGCCAAGCACTTCACCCACATTCCATCACTCTGTCAAGCCAGGTAGCAAGAGGGCGCTGGGCAAAAGGCTCTGTGACCTCATCAAGGTCAAAGAAATTAGGGAGTGATCAGGGATACAGCTGCAGCCCCTCAGCCCCTGGCCTCCTCCAGATCCCCAAGAGAACCAACCCCCATTTTCTTCACCCATATGTCTCTTATTCTACTGTCCTCTTTTCTTGACCCCAGGGCCTCTTGGGTTCGAGGACAGAGGCCCAGGGATATGGCTGGGCTTGTCTGAGTGCTGGCAGGACAGAGGGTGGACCTGGGACCATGCCAGGGCTGGGGCGTGTGTGTGCTAGGATCTGGGTAGAAATGCCTGCAAGACTGGGATGTGGATCCCTTGGGGGACTGGCACAAAATCCTGGGCTCCCACCCCCTGAGGCTTCTGTGGTCCTGTCCCCAGGCCAGTTGAGGAAACCCAGAGAAGCCTAGAGAATTTCTCATGCACAGTCTAAACTGCAAACTATTCCTCAGGAGAGAGGCAGGAGTGCCTTGCTTTGAATTCAGGCCAAAAAAAGCTTTGAAAGGAGCCCCTGAGTGAATGGTGGGTCAGAGCAAAAGTTGGGGCAAAGCTACCAGCAGGGGTGTTCCCACAGGGGTTCCACCAGGTTTGACACCCTAGAACTCCCTTGTCTTTTGCCCTTTCCCCAGAAGGTTGTAGACCAGCTCCCTGGCCTCCAGAGAATCCTCCGGCTGTCCTGATAGTCTGATCCCTGGCCTAGAACCCTGAGCGACTTGGGCTCTAGGTCTCTGACTCGCTATGTGACCTTGGGCAAGTGTCTTCCTTTCTGTGGTCCTCTGCCTCCCCAGCAGGGAAAGAGTTTGGATGGCTGAACTGAGTATCCTTCCAACTTTGACAAGCTCAGCTTTTGTGAAGGTCAAGTGTGGAATGGGAGGCTCTGGAGATGCCTGGATGAGGGTCTAACAGAATGCAGGGGGCCATTGTCCGCGTTTCTGTAGGATTCTGTTTGCCACCCAATGCCTGGCTGAGGGTGGCAGAGTTTCTGAGACCAGGTATTTCTTGGCTTCATTCTCTGCAGGCTGCCCCACAGTGAGGACAGGCACCCTGGCTTAGCCGCTCTTGGCAGTATCTGCAGTCCAGGGTTAGTGCCGGAGATCAGGGGGTGACCCTTCAAGCCTGGGTATGGCCAGGAAACACAAGGTCTGCCTCATCCTGTTGTCAGGGGCCTCTCCTATCCCTGGGGTGTGGCTAGACTGGGCAGTGAAGGCTCCCTCATCCCACGGGTGGGTAGGGTGCTGGGGGTCCTCAGAGAGCCTACCGGCTCCTAGTGGCCCGTTGTCTCCACTCTGCCGGAAATAACCTTGCTGAGCGTTTGAGGGAAGTGTGAAAAATTGCTGAGCCGACGTTTTTCTCTCCCAGCGTGTGTAAGTGTGCTGGGTAAACAAGGAGAAAGAGAGGAGGTGGGGGAGGTGAGGAGATGGAGGGAGGAAAGGAGGGAGGGAGGAGAAGGGAGGGGGAAGGGGGGAAGGGGGGAAGGGCCTGGGGCTGGAGATAGTTCCAGTTATTAGAAAGATCCTCTTACAAGCCATTCCTGCAGCAGCCGCTACAGGGTCAGGATGAGGCTGGTGGGAGGGGAAGCTGGGGAGGGGTGCGGGGAGGGGGGCCTGTGAATGTGGAGGTCAGGAGAACCACTGGCTCCTAAGTGATGAAGATTCAGGGCCCCAAATTAAAGAGGTGTACTCCCAGCTCAGGGAATGCCTGGGAGTGCTGAGGATTCCTGGAGGACTCCTCCTCCACACACACATACACACACACACACACACACACACACACACACACACACACACACAAGCAATGCTCTACTCCCTCCCTTTTCAGCTTCTACAGGCTGGGCAAAAAGGTGCAGGTGCATCAGGGCTCCAGGCCTCGCCTCAGCCCAAAGAGCCCCTAAACAGGGAAGGAGAAGCTTCCCAAATGGAAAAATCTCTAGGCCTTTCTGCAGAGCTCCCCAAAGAAGGCAGACCAGATTTAATTCCACCATCCTGTCCAATACAATGCCTCATTTCTCCCCCTCCTTCTCCTCTTGCTCCTCCACTGTTTTCTGCCTCAGTGCAGCCTCCCCTTCCCCTCCTCTCCCCTGAGTGATTCTGAACACAGATTCTGTCTTGTGAGATGCCAACTCACATCCTCCTGACCCCCTCAGAACCTTGCCCTCCAACTCCACCCAGCCCACCCCTTCGCATCCTGGGGAGATGCTGGGGGAACTCTCAGCCATCCCAGAGCAGGCTGCTGCTCATCTATCTGCGTGGCTGTAGTCTCCGTGGATCTCAGCCCATCTTCACTGCCTACCTCCATCACACCCTCACACCCCAACTCTGAACTCCGGCTGGGCTCCCTGTCCTCCCTCCTCTGCCCGCCCGCCCCCCACCCCGGTCCTGCCCCCGTACTGCTTCACAGTGCATCTGACCCAGGCAGATGAGGGATCAATGCCAATCCAATAACACAGTTGTCTGCCCTCCACAGCTACATTAAGCCTCTCCAGCAGGCTGAAGAAGCACTCCTACTCTTGCCCGTGGGCTTATCCAGTTGACCACATTACACCAGCGCCCACTTCCTCTCACTCCCTCTGATGGCGCCAGGGAGTCGCTCCAGGCCAGGCCTGGAAAGCCCGGCCGAAAGGCCCCAACACATCCACCCCACACCTCAGAAAGGCCATCTGGGGAGCAGGGATGCAAAAGGGCTGCCCCGATTCCTTGGCAGAAGGAGCCCAGAGACGGCCGGGGAGGTGCCCAAGGACACACAGCAGGCCCATGTGGCTCTTAACTACCACTTCCCCTGGTATCTCAGTCTTGATCTAGGCCCAAGATCCAGGTTAGAGTCATGTCAGAGGTCCAGGTTCAAAGTCCAGGTCCAGATCTGAGATCCAGGCCCAACATCCATGTCCAACCTTAAGTCTAGCACAAGGTCCAAGGTCAAGGTCCTAGGCTAGTCCAGGCCAAGATTCAGAACAAATTCATGTCCAAGTTCAAGTTTCAATGTCTGAGATCAGGTCCAGGTCAATGTTCAGGGTCCAGGATTACGATCCAGATCGAATTTCTAGTTCAAGGTCATGTCCAGGTCTATTCTGAAGGCTTTCCAGGTTGATGTCGTAGACTCACCATTAGCTTTTTCTGTGGCCTTGGACTGGTCTCCCCCAACCCCAGCCTTAGTTTCCTTCTCATGAACTCAAGCAGTTGAACTTGATCTCTTTCAGCTCTGACCTTGTAGGGACCCAGAAATCTGATTTTTCTAAGAATTAGTCAGTGGGAGTATGGAATAACAGGGCCCATGTGGGATATGGAATCTGGGGTCCACAGTCCCCTATAAGCCTGGGATCACAAGGGTGACATGAGGGGACAGAGCTGAGCATCTATTTTTCAAGCAGTCTGTTTGTGGTTCCTGAGGGACAGCAGAAGAATATATCAAGTCCCTATGTCAGCACAGCAATTTATATCATCCCCCAAACTCCCCACACCCCAACTCCCCCCACACACACTGTGGGCAAAGGGCAGTGAGCACAGGGGAGGATTAGCTCCAACCTACAAAGGCAAATGAGGCCAGGGAGACCCGTGCCTTGCATGAGGTCACGGGGCATAAATGGTGGACCCTGTCGCACCTCCCTGGTGAGTGCTTCATCTACATGTTCTAGGGACCTCCATAGCCTGGAGGCCCTCTGAGAGACAGGCTGAGACCCTTGCTGAGAGAGATGAGACCCCCAGAGTTCCTGGCCTCCCTCCCAGCTGCAGTGTCCGGCTGCCAGCCTTTGGGTAAGAAGGGAGCTTGGAATGGGCCCTCTGACTGTACCCTTC